TGTTCTGACACTGCTACTCATAATTATTAATATGTTGCTAACCTTATAAAATTAGCACAATATGCCACCCCGCTTAATTAGTCTACTACTTGGAAAAGTGGAAGAGTGTGAGGTGAGGTTTTGTACTAGATCTGCTCTTGTTTATCAATAACAATTTATCTAACCATTTTTTATGAATAGGTTAATCTGTAACTTTCAATAAATATAATTATAGACTTGGATTTATATCAAATCAGATAAAAAAAGGGATGGCTTTTTGGGAGAATAGGATTGCAACATCTACATATTTATTAGAGATGGGCATTATATATATATATAGTCCTGAAAGCAACCAAGCAGGTTTAATGTAATGCGATATTTTCATTCAATATCTCTATATATAATTATATATCACTTTCAACTCCATGAATATTTATATGGTCATTTCATAATCTCAACTTCTCATTGTTTTTGTCTACGTAGCTTTCGGCCATACACTGATCAGTGGTGATCACCATCAGAGTCCGCTGTTTGTCTCAATTTCTTCGATTTTTGGGGCTAATTACTCACATGTCACATGTTGTCGGGCTGATAACGAGTTGTTGTCTTCTTGATTTGGATTCCAGTTTGAACACTAGCTAGCTAGCTAGTACACTACTTATATAGTAAAAACGTCTGGTTTCAGTTTGCTCAAAACAACGTTCTTCTAAATAGAAGCTCAATCAAATGAGCCTAGAAATAGTTGACAATTGCAGAATGGATGCTTCATATTTCGGTCATGTTTTTCTCATTCTATATTTCACATGTGGCGCAATTAGTACTATTCCTGGTTTATGTTCAACTCTTATTCCTGTGCCGCTGATCATGTGTCTATTTTTCTTTTTCTTTTTTACTGAAATCTGTATGAGCTTTTATTGATCAGTCACCACGGTTACATTATCCAGCTGTAGCTGATCAACTAAATAAGCTGGAGGCCTCTCTACCCAAATAACTGGCTCATTCCACCTAGTCTCTGCATGCGCCATAAGATGTGCAGCTTTATTAGCATCTCTGCTTATGTGCCTAATGGCTTTCAGCCCCATCATCTTCAGCTGTCGACGAGTATGCCTGCAAACCACTGCCACTTCATCCTTAGTTGCATTCGGGTTTTGTAATCTGTGAACCACCATCAAGCAATCCATCTCCATCTCAATATCCATGAAACTGAACTGGTGAGCCAGCTGAGCCCCCATCTCCGCCGCTAAGGCCTCCGCCATCTCCACCTCCAAAGACCCCTTAATCTTCTTAGCCGCCGTGAGCAGGAAGTTTCCACCCTCATCTCGAAACACCACTCCCAAACCAGCCCCCCCCCCCCCCTCGCCAGGTAGAATACCCGCGTCGCTGCACATTTGATTTTTCCCAACACCGTTCGTTGCCATTGTCGCCTTGGAGCCACCCTAGGGGGTTCTTCATCCTTCTTTTGGTGTTGTTTATAGTCCGATAACAGGTACTTTGCTCTCATAGGTATCTCCTCTTCGGCGATTTTTGCTCCTTTAAACATGTGAGCGTTTCTTTCCTTCCAGAGAAACCATAATAGCATGCACCAATTTTTGAGACCATCCTCATCACCCAGTTCAACCACTGACTTCACCCATTCATAGCAAGAGACTCCATCACACAGCTCAAAACAGCTCGCCATTTCAGTCTTTCTCCAAATTCTCGAACCCCATTCACAAGCATGAAAACGGTGGACCTGGGTTTCTTGTTGATCGCAAAAGGGGCATCGATCTCCCCATCCTGGATTCCGATGGCTGAGAAAAACTCCAACAGGTAAGACCTCCCTCATGAATTTCCACATGAATTGCTTAACTTTTGGCGGGACCTGCATTCCCCAAATTTCCTTCCAAATCCGAGCTTCGCCAACTTCGTGCACCCCATGCTGGAACTTGAAACCTTTTAACCAATCACGATACCCTTACTTTACCGAGTAACTCCCTTCCCGACTACTATACCAGATTAAGGTATCAATTTCGCCATTACCCTGCAATGGGATCTGCAAAATAGCCTCAACAGTATCCTTAGTAAAACAGCTCTCCAGAACTGTTAAGTCCCAAGCTTCCTCTTCTAAACTCACCAACTCGCGTAACCGGGCATCAATTGCCAACCCAACTGGCGCTGAAGGGATGAACTGTTCAGGCAGGGTTGGGATCCACCAATCCCCCCACACTCTCACTTCAGTGCCCGTGCCGATACGCCAACGGAGACCTTGGTTAAGAAGTTCCTGAGCACTCATTAGATTTCGCCAAACAAAGCTCGGCCTATATCCCACATGTGCATTAAGAATCGATGACTTCTTATGGTACTTAGCTTTGAAAATGCGAGCAATGAGCGACTCCGGTCGCTGAACCAGGTTCCATAACTGCTTAGCTAAGAGGGCAACATTGAAACCCCTCAAGTCCCTGTACCCCAAGCCTCCTTCCTCCTTCGGACATACGAGTTCCTCCCTTCTTAAACCATGTGATCGCGTCTCTTCGCCACGCTGACCCCACCAGAAGTTCATGATCAAGCTATGGGCTTCATCTATAATCCCATCCGGGATCCTGAACACTGACATCGCGTAAGTGAACTGTGATTAAGCCACGAACTTAATCAGTACCTCACGAGCTGCCGCAGATAGCTTCTTCTCTTTCCATCCCTTCAGTTTCTTACTGAGCCGATCTTTTAAATCCTGGAAAAGCAACTTCTTCGACCTCCTTTCTTCCGTTGCCAGTCCTTGGTACTTGTTATGCTTATCTACTCTCTTCATCCCCAAAATACCATCTACCTCCAAGCTCCGGTGGATTGTAACATTTGGGCTGAACGAAACCTCTGACTTATCAAAGTTCACCATCTGACCGGACTCCTTTTCGTAATCTTGAAGTGTCTTCTTTAATTCCATACTTTCCTGAGTTGTAGCCCTGGCAAAAAAGATAATGTCGTCAGCAAAAAATAGATGAGATACCACTGGAGCCCCTTGAGCTGGTTGCACCCCACGCATCCTCTTCTCTTTCACCGCCAACACCGTATAAGAGGAAAGGCCTTCAGCACAGATGAGAAACAAGTACAGAGAAAGAGGATCCCCTTGACGCAGCCCCCATCCTGGAACAATAACCTGCGACTGATTACCATTCACCAGCACTGAGTATGTCACTGTACTGAAACAAAGCATGATGAGCGAGATCCATCGCTCTCCAAAACCCATTCGTCGCATAACCCCCGCTAAAAACCGCCATTCCACTCTATCGTAAGCTTTGGCCATGTCGATCTTTGCTTCCATCACACCATTGCGACCTTTCTATTTCTTCTTTATTGAGTGGAAGCACTCAAAAGCTGCCATGACGTTATCAGTTATGTATCTGCCAGGAACAAAAGCATTCCGCTCCGGCGAGATTACTTTATCAAGTAGCCCCTTTAAGTGATTTGTGAGAACTTTGGCCACCAACTTGTACAGCACATTGCATAGACTGATCGGTCTGAATTCCTTAGGGCTCATCGGCTTCTTAGTTTTAGGAATCAGAGCAATCAGAGTATGGTTGAGTTGATCCGGCATCTCCCCACGTTCAATCACCCCTGCCACAGTCTGAACCACTTCATCAACCACTATTCCCCAGTATTTACGGAAGAACATTACCGGCATACCATCAACTCCCGGTGCCTTTCTTGGACCCATCTGTTTCAGAGTAGTAACCACTTCCTCCCTTTCCACCGGTCGCATCAGTCTAGCATTGTCACCATCGGTGATCGATATTTGCACGGAATCAGTGACTGGGGTCACATCCGGGGAAACACCTGCAGTAAACAATTTCACAAAATAGTTAAATAGACACTCAGAGGTTCCTTCCTACCCCACGAGCCAGCGACCATCATCCTCTTTCAATTTCCGAATAGTGTTCCTCTTCCGCCTTGCAGAAGCTTTTCGGTGGAAAAAATTAGTGTTTTTATCCCCGCCATCAAGCCAGTCCGCTCTGGACCTTTGCTTCCCGTAGTTTTCCTCATTATCTTCTAGCTCCTCTAACTCTGCCTCCAACTGCCTTCTTTGTGCGAGAACTGTTTCGGATACAGGGATCCGCTTTAGAGCGGTCATGGCTCGTTGGATTTTTTATCTATGCTAGCCGAACCTTGGGAAGGTAACTTTGCTCCACTGCTCCAGCGAGTACCTGCAGGCTTCGATCTTTCCCAAAGTGCTCCTCGACCCCTGTGCCTCCCAGGTTTCCGCCACCACTCTCTGACAGTCCTCATGCTTTGCTCAAAATGGCTCAAATCGAAAACTCCATCCCCACTGAGGTTCTACATCCTCATCCCCACAAGTATCACAGACAATTGGTCTGTGGTCCGATCTAGATCTATCCAAATGTCTAACACAAACATTAGGATGTTGATCAAGACAAGAATCATACCCCACAAACCTATCCAGTCTTTCCTCAATATAATCACCCGCTCTTCTTCTATTTTCCCATGTGAATTCATATCCCTCAAAGCCCAAGTCCCTCAAGCCCGAGTCAATAAGGCATTCATGAAAGTCAAGCATGGCCGCATCCGCAGAAGACCTCCCACCTCTCTTTCTACACTCGATAAGATCTGGTTAAAGTCGCCCCCACAAAGCCAGGGTCCAGACCACTGAGCCGCTAAGTACCAAAGCATCTCCCAGGTTCTGTGCTTATCCTCTCCTTCTGACCAGCCATAAATGCCAGTAAACCTCCATATACCTCCCTCATCTTCTATCTTTATATCAATATGATTCAAAGATTTCGTCATAACAGTCAAATTAACTTCCTCAGTCCACCAAATTCTTAAGCCTCCAGCACGCCCCCCACCAGAAGTGTCTGTCGACTAACTCGTCCCATCCTTAAACCCCAGTTCCTTGAGAGTCTCTTCATTCTCATCCTCGGTCTTCTTAGTTTCCATTAAAAACACTACTAACGGGGAGGTTTGTCGCAATAGCGACTTCAACGCTCTAACTGCCCCCTTACTCCCGAATCCGCGACAGTTATAGCTCAGAATTCTCATTTATGACCCAAAGGGGATAGGTTCCCCGCACCTTTTCCATTTTTTTTATTTGACGACGTATGAGCATTGCCTCCGTGCACTCCTGATTGTTTACTCGGTTCAGATTGGGCACTTTTAGACCCTCCGCCACCCTCCTTTTGCTTTGCTATTCGGTTCTTATCTCTCCCGGCATTCGCCCCTCCACCCGGACTCACTCCTGTCACCACTTCAGCCGGTTGTTTTCCCCCTTTCTTCCCCTCGGACCTACCATTCTTTAGACCATCATCGACCTTCTGCCTTTCTCCTCCCTTCTTTTTTAGCATCTCCTTCTCCTTCGTGGCATGTGACTTCCCCAATTTTTCACCTACTTTGTCCCCCTCCTTCTCATTCGTCATCTCGTTAACTTTGTCAGCCTCTTTCTCCCCTCCCTCTTCTGACGTTGCATGAATGGATATCACCTCATCCTGCATTTCCTCATGTAAAACATGAACTGCATTCTTCACGTGAATTGCATTATGTCCACTTCCATTCTCAGGTCTCCGCTGTTGCCTCCTGTTACCTCGCATCACCGACATCCACTCCCCATAGATTCTACCATTCGTGGGATCCGGCTGCTGGGTCTCCGGGACCTGCTCACACTCTTCCGCATTAATATCCGAGGTCATGATCTGACATGTACACTTAGCAGTCGATTTCCTATACATGCCACACTCCCCACATATGTTATCCAATCCCTTGTACTGAATTAGATACGTAATCCCTTCCACCTTGTACTAGAACAAGAGCGATTTGGTTAGGTCCACTTCTACGCAAACCCTGGCAAACTTTGCTCTTGCTCCTAACTCTGTAGCACGATCAACCTTAATTGGTGTCCCAATGAGACCCCCGATCCTCATCACCGCTTCGGCATTAACAAATTCAATGGGAAGCTCTGGTAGCTGGACCCAGACTATGGTTGATTTAATCTCCGACTTCCAGGGATTAAAACCCTTGAACCAGCGATGGACTGCTAAATATGTATCCCCCAACAGCCATGGTCCACTTGTGGAGGCAAGGTCATAGTCTCGCTGATCACGAAACCTCACGAGATAACATTCGTTCTTCATATCTGATATCTGAATATCACCATTCAGAGCCCATAGGTAGTTCAGTCTTTGAGCCCGTGGCAGATAAGAGATTCGGCGACCCAAACCCTTCACGACTAAGGCTGATCGCCACTCCCGTCGCCACTGTGTCTTCTCCGCCGCAGTAAATAAAATCGGGGGGCACCGAGGTTCATATTCCTCCCCCATAATCTCGTCATCCTCCTCTTTTTCATAAGCTGTCACATCCTCCGAATCCGACTTCGCTACGTACCACCCTTTTTCATCCATCTTGGCGCTCTTAAACAACTTCTCAGCCGCGACTTGCCATGGCAAGGGGGTTTGTTTCTTGGCATCAGTATCCACCCCTATCTCCGTCTCCATCTCATTGTATGTTTCCTCCAACCCTACCCCTTCTCGATTCAAGTCCAGCGCCAGTGCACGTTTCTTTGCCTACATTGATTCCTGATCGCTCTTCCCGTTCGGCGATGAGGAAACCATTGCTGGCCTCCGACTTCCACTTATATCTGGGGGCTTCCCTGCCGGGGCCATTGGCTTGCCTGACGGCGGTGCCGCCATTGCGCACGGAAGCATACGAAGGAAAAACGTTCGTTAGGTTTTCCTTCCGAAAAAAACGGAGCTCTGTTAAAAGCAAATAACAGGGTAGAGAAAAACGTTCGTTAGGTGTCCGCACCATCCTGATCACGTGTCTATACCTCATGCACAATTGCACATACTCCTAACATTAAATATTAAGTAATAATATATAATTGCGTAATTTCAAATTTCAAAATCCCATTTATCATTTCTTGAAGTTAATTTTCACATTAGCACAAATTTATGGATTGAAACTGGCTCATTGATGCAGGAGCTTCGACTTTAGCCAAACCATTTACAATCTATAGGGTTGGCGAATGAATTCTGGAATCCGTGTTCCAAAAAAAGAAAAAATATGTTGCCATTACATTATTAAAAGAATAAAATGATAGAATTAATTAAGAAATAAAAACTCAATACAAAATTAATTATTGTGAGATTGAACAAATAAGAGAATTCAAATAGTAACCCAATTGAAAATTAGTCTATCTATATTGGACCTACCTGAATAGGTTATGAGAGCTAATTTGAGTAAAAGAGAAGAAGAAACAAAGAGTGAAGAGGAAGAACATTAAATGAGTATAACTGTAGAAGTGATCATTTGGATTTTAAATATTTAGTTACAAATTATATATATAGGTGACGTTTTCAGTGCACTCACTTTTTTGGTGCATTCAATGCACCTGCCTCATAATTATCATTCCGAGCATGCGATTCATGTCAAAACGGCATCGATTGTCGCTTATGATATTATGAACAAGAAACAGATGAATTTGTGCAAAAATTATTTTGGATTTACTTTAATTTTAAGGATTTAGGGGTTAGCGATTTGGGGTTAGGGTTTAGGTTTACAATTTGGGATTTTGGTTTGGGATTCAAAATTGAAGGTTAACGGGTTAGGGTAATGGATTGATTAATTGTGATTCTATGTTATATCTTCATATTATACTAATGCTACCAATTTAAGTTCAAAATCGATGTATTGTGACCTCTTTTAGAGTTTGCACCCAAAAAAGTGAGTGCACCGAAGTAGCCACCTATATATATATATATATATATATATAATATGATATGTGGAGAGATAGCACAACTATCCCTAAGGGTTGGAAAGACTTTAGCCCCTTCACTAATGACATGGTTCGAATCTCACGTTTAATTATTTAAGTTTAAATTATTTAACCTCTCATTCAAATTTTTGACTTCGCCACTGAACTTGAGTGCGTATTATTAGCCTATGCCCTTAGTGCAAATAATAGAGTACAGACTTGCCCATTGTAGGGAAATTCATCGGCGGGATTGAAAAGCATATGCATGGAAATAAGAACACGACCTCGTTCGTGTTGTCTGGGCGGCCGGCCACTCTAGAGCTTATCATGAATTCACAGCTTTGGTATTGTGCTCATTTAATTTTGAAGATGATACAACCGAAAGGAAGGTGGACGATGAAACAAATGTAGGATAACCCTAAAAATAGGGGCGATTGGGCCATTTTGGTCAATAAAGGCCGTTGAGACAGAGGGGAGAGTTGGGGGTGTCATTTTCCTTGTTCACTATTTTTTGGTGGACATAACTGGCCGCAAGAAGTTGTTGCCTTTAATTGATTTCATTTCGCGTTGGGGATGAAATCACAGTAATGTCCCTTTCTCAAACCCACGAATCTAGCAAAGCTTTACTTTTAGGTTTTATATAGAAAGATGAGATTATATACTAATACATTACCTGGGTGTCTGTTTCAACCACATTTCGTCCAAACACATGCATGTTTTCCAGCAACAGTCACGCTGACGCAAGCTAGAAAACCTGTAGAAATATATATCTTGCATACCAGTTTCGTCACGTCGTATCCAGAGAAGGTATATCCTTCTTAAGTTCTAAGTATAGATAATTTTACGTATAAAATTTGTGACAAAATTGAAAAATATATTAGTTGAAAAGGTTCTAATTCCCCTCCTCTTCAATCACAATTATTCAAATGTAAAATTTTTTAGTCCCTCATTCCAAATTTTTTTATTTCGCCACTGTATACAAATTACCAGCAATCGTTCAAACTGGAAAAGTCGGGGCCATAACTATGGCCATGTTGAAGAGAAGACAGCACGATCCCTCAAAATGTCATTGTCGTCCCTCCACCCACATGACAACAAACTATAATATAACCCTCTCCCTACCCTTTCCGAGCTAACTTTTTGCTCTCTCCTTCATCCAATTTAATGGCGGACTTCCCTTCCAACGAGCCATAGCTTGTTACTGCTCAACCTAGCTAGCTAAATCACGGGCAAATGCCCACTTTCTGCGCCACTATATAACCCTATCAAGTTCACCAAGCTCAGCATAACACTAATTCTACCACTAGAACTATCTACCTCTTCCCTCTCTCTCTCTTTCCTCTTCCTCTCTCTTTCCTCTTCTCCGCAATGGCAATGGCAATGTCAACGGTTTCCGGCCTGGTCGTGGCGGCGATGGCCGTTTTGGGGTGCGGTTTGATGGCAGCCCAGGTAGCTGACGCTAGGGCGTTTTTCGTGTTCGGCGATTCGCTGGTCGACAATGGCAACAACAATTACTTGGCCACCACGGCTCGCGCAGACTCGCCTCCGTACGGGATCGATTCCCCCTCCGGCCGCCCCTCCGGCCGCTTCTCCAACGGCCGCAACATCCCTGACTTCATCAGTACGTCATATAAATACATATGCATGAAAAAAAAATGATCTCACCTCTTTTTTCCTTCTCTTAATTAATTAGTGACATTAATTAATTGTGTTTATTTATTATCACGTGGGCACGTACACTTAATTAGGTGAAGCACTAGGGTCGGAGCCCACATTGCCGTACCTGAGCCCAGAGCTCACCGGCCAAAAGCTCCTCGTCGGTGCCAACTTCGCCTCCGCCGGCATCGGGATCTTGAACGACACTGGAGTCCAGTTCGTAAGTTGCCGCGTAATTTTTAGCATCCTCCATTCATTCAGATTTCTGACTCCGTCACTCATTAACAATATGTGACGCGTTTTATTAGGTGAACATAATAAGGATGTACCAGCAGTTCCGGTACTTCGAGCAGTACCAGGCCCGGCTGGCGGCCCAGATCGGGCCCGCTCGAGCCCAGCAGCTGGTGAACCAGGCCCTGGTGCTCATCACCGTCGGCGGCAACGACTTCGTGAACAACTACTACCTGGTCCCGTTCTCGGCCCGGTCGCGCCAGTACGCACTCCCGGACTACGTCAACTACCTCATCTCCGAGTACAAGAAGCTCCTCCAGAGGCTCTACGACCTCGGGGCCCGCCGCGTCCTGGTGACCGGCACCGGCCCACTGGGCTGCGTCCCCGCCGAGCTGGCCATGAGGGGAGCCGGCAACGGCCAGTGCGCCATCGAGCTGCAGCGGGCCGCGGCCCTGTTCAACCCGCAGCTGACTCAGCTGATCGGCGAGATGAACGCCGAGCTTGGTGAGGGCGTGTTCACTGCGGCGAATACTAGGATGATGACCAACGACTTCATCAGCAATCCCGGGGCTTATGGTAATAATAAGTTTCTGATAATTGATATTTTTTTCCTAATAAATAAATACTCGTATTTCACGGGAGCTGCAAGATACACACTAAAAGGCTAGTCTAAGAAGAAAAGTCAAACCCGAACGGTATAAATACATAGCGTGAAATGTGGAAATAGGACGTGGCAAATTGGGGACCAATAAAAGAAAAGGAGAAAGGAACATGATATGAAGTTAAGTAGAGAGGTAACAACTTCTTGTGGCCAATTATGTCAACCAAGAATATTGAAGAAGGGGAAATGACACCTATTTCTCCCCTCTATCTAAAACGGCATTTATTGACCCAAATGGTCCACCTCCCCCTATTTTTAGGGCTACCCTACATTTGTTTCATCACCCAGCTTCATTCCTGTTGTATCATGAATTTCACTCACCCCATGTGCCTTGCCTTCATACTTATTAACAAATCAATTCGTAAAAAAATTTATTGTAAAATCGTATCGAAGTTAGTACCCCAAAAGTTAGCAGTATGATATTTTATGTTGAAAGCATAATTAATCGTGATTCGACAGTTTCATACAACCAAAAACTGCCTATCGATTTAGACTCCTAATATTTTCTAGATCAGACCGCCATATACGATGTTACAGACACGGAGCGGAGTTTTAGACCGATAGAAAGCAACTGATTTTATTTGCTTGTGGCAGGGTTTACGGATTCAAAGGTGGCTTGTTGTGGACAGGGGCCTTACAACGGGCTGGGCCTGTGCACGCCGGCATCGAACTTGTGTCCCAATCGAGATGTGAACGTCTTCTGGGATGCCTTCCATCCCTCGGAAAGAGCAAACAGCTTCATCGTCCAACAAATCTTGAACGGCTCTCCCGAAGTTATCTCTCCGATGAATCTCAGTACCATTTTGGCCATGGACAACAACAGGTCTTAATATATAATGGGTTGTCGACTTTCTAGTTTTTTCTTTTTCGTTTATATCTAAGTTAGCTTCCAGCATGTGTCGTGGTGGAGCAACTATGGGCTATATAACTATGAGGGGGAATAAAAGTTTGCAGCACCTCCATTTTGGATGTCTGGGCTGGCTTTTTCTCTAGGGGGACAATTCCCTGTCGTGAAAAAGATCAGGCTTCATGATGTAATTTGCTTCGGTTTTAGTTGTTTGGTGATTTGATTTTGGTTGTAATTTGCTTAATCTCTCTTGATCTAGATGTACTCGCTACTTCTTCCATTATAAGACAACGTAATATTCTTATATTCCACCACGAAACACGTACAAGGCTGAGTATACAGATCAGTCTCTCTCTCTTGGTGCGCGTACGATTTTGATGGAACAGATAAAGGAATTTATGGATGAAAAAAATATTCGTAACCGTGGATATTCATTCGAATCCAATCTAATAATTGGGTAGGGTAAAATTCGAACCGAAGTATTTTTGATGGATTCGAGTAAAACTCGAACCTGAATGATTTTCTCACTATCTACCCCAAACCCACCTAATTATACCCATACATATATAAATTTAGAAATAATTATTATTTTTAGCTAACATATTTTATATTTAACATACAAATCTAATATTTTCATTTTCATGAAATTGTGTTGTTTTAATTAATTTTTTTTCATTTTAGTGATTTATCATCGTACATTTCCTCTTTTATAATGTGAATATATGTGAATGTAAATAAATTGTTTGGAGATTTAAAGAGAAATTGTTACTTATAGATAACTGTGTTATCCGAAACTCGAACGGATATGAACGAGTTTGATTTTCTACCCATTTCTTATGTGGATATAGATACAGGTGTAAACTCAAACTATTTCAAATAAGGTAACGAATATGCATTATCCGCCCCTACCTTACCAATTATCATTTTAGGAATTCACTATAAGAAAGTTTTAGTATACCGACGGTTCCCTACCGGTTGCTGACAACCGTGGTTAAATGATAAATTGATAATTGTCAACGGAAGGCCCAAGTTGTCAAAACAGCCGTTGAGAAATAAATTGAACTTTTTTGTCGGTTGCTATGTGGATCACAACTAATTTAATAGTTTGATTTTCTAAGAGGGCTCCACGGTGCACCAATCAGTAAGTAATTTCGTGTCATTTATTCAGAAAATTCAGATGTAAGGGTGGAGAATTAAAGACATTTTTATTTTTCTTTGTTTTTTTTACGAAGGTAGAATTTCATTTATTTCAAACGGTGATTGTAGTACAAGCTAATCATATTACAACATAGGGTAAATGATGTCAAGAACTTGAATCCACTCCTGGTGAAGTGACCCTTTTGCAGCTTCTTTTCCAACCCAGTCCGCACATTTGTTCTCCTTTCTTGGGTAAAAAGCAATCTTGATCCCACCATTCGCATGGAGGATTTGCCTCATCCATTGAATCCACGCTCTAACTTGCCAAGGTCCAGCATTGCTTGTGTTAAGAATCGTATCGACCAAGACCTTACAGTCAGAGTGGATGGTAGCAGAGATGCCCACTGAAACCACATGATGCATTGCAATCAGAATAGCCTTAGCTTCCGCTACAATCTCCGAGAGCATAACAGAGTACCAGCAAAGCCATCTACAACTTGGCCAAGAGGGTTTTTGATTACCACTCCATAAGCCGCTAACTGAGATTCCGAACTAAAAGTTCCATCACAGTGAATAACCCAATGGTTAAGACAAGGCGGTAGGCTGAGTGTAGGATGACGAGGAGCATGTTGGTCATGAGAACTAGTGAGGAATAGTCCATCCTGACTCGTCCAAACCGAGAAAAAACTCACTGCTTTCAGAGAAGTACCATAAGTACTAGGGTTGACTCCTTTAAACACCCTCTCGTTCCTCACCAGCCAGATTGCCTAGAGACAAGCCACAACTGCCGGAATCTGAACTAGTGGGATACTTTCAGAGATCCCAAGTAACCACATCACAATCGGGGTGGAGTCGTGGGGGAGAATGAGCGAAGGAAAGTTAGTTTGCCAAACCCTCGCAGCATGCGGACACTGGAAGAGACAGTGTCTAATGTCCTCAACCTCCACTTCACAAATAGAGCAAATAGGGGAAGGATTGCATCTTCTGGACCAAAGATTTCTCTTTGTGGCAACCGCATTCCTCGACAGTCTCCAAATGAAAGACCGGATCTTTGGAGGAAGCGATAAGCTCCATAACCATTTTCACGCTTTAGTCGAGCAGCTCGGGTGATTTGGATTTCCAGTCCCAAGCCTTTTCATTTCTGCAACTTTAAAACTATTGATAAGCAGTCTTGACTGAGAAGATACCTGATTTCTCGTGATGCCAAACCCAAGTGTCATTTGAGTACTCCGGACCAATGGGGATTCTTCTAATAGCTGCCACTTCTTCCTCCGAACAACTCTGTCTAATGATGTCCAAATTTCATTCCCATTCATCCTCCATGACCCACTGGAAAGCCCATAATTGCTGGCGTTGGATCGGTTGAAGTTTAATATTGCTAATGCCCGGAATCCACAGATCACCATCTAGTAATCTTTGTTTTCTTTGATGTTTGTAGATGATGATGATCTTCTAGTTCTTGTGTTTGATGTTTTAGTAGTTGGTATTCACTATTAGATGAAGGTGTTTGATTATTTTTGATTTTATGCGTTGGAAATTAGATTTTGAATTCACGATTGAGGTTGTTTGATGTTATTTCACATTAGTATTTTATATTAATAATGTAAAAGTGTAGTTATTAGATGACGATTTGTGTATTACATGTGATTATTGCTTCGCTTTATTATATTTTTTGAAAGAAAATAAAATTTATTGATTTTATATTAGGTTTGATTAGGTATATCGTACTTGTTGGAACATATATGTTAGTGGTTATTGGTTAACTGCCAAACTAACCGCTAACCGAACCGATAAGAGACGGTTAACTGATAAGGTCTATCGGTTTGGTGATCGGTATGCATTTTTTGCTTATTGGTTAACCGCTAACCGTCATTTCAGTTAGTGGTTAACTCGCACTGAACCGATAAACAACCCTATGTATGATAAGAGAGTGACTAATGAAAGCAATTTTTTTGTGACAAACGCAAATATAATTTTGTAAGTGATGAGCCCAGTATTCAACCGACATCATACAAATAGTCACAAACTATTTCACGTGATCATAAGGAGAAAAATGATAAAATCATCTACATGTGGCAAGTTAATGGTATTGGTATCTACTACTAGTTACATCATTGGGTTTGGGTACTCTCCCCTTCAAAATAACCCCATCAAACCAATTTTTCACTTTCCACATCCTTCTCCCATGTGGATAAAGATTGTTAGATATGGGAAGCTAGAATCCCTCATCAAACAAACCCAACTACATACCCATCATCCCATGCCATACTAATTACAAATAATGCATGAGATGGGTGATTAGTAAAGTGGCCTTAAGCAACCCATCTCATTTGGTTCTTTATTTAACACGTGGCATTGAGAAGAGTTGTTTGGTGAATTACATTTGCTTAACAAATACAAATAAGCCCACCCAACTCCTTTCATCTTAACACGTGGACATGAGGTGGATGGGTTACATGATTAATCATCAAGTTATTTATCCCAAACAACCCACTTCCCTGCTGCCATTCACTTACACGTAGGAAAAGCAAAAGATGAGAGGGGGATATGTATCTTTGTCTACCACCATTAATTGGATGCATGGTTGGGTTTAATTACCCCACTTACTACACGCGGAAGGGAAAAGAGAAAGGTAAGTGATCTTCTTTTTAGCCAACCATCCATTGCACTGAAGGATGGGAGGTACATGTATTTTATTATTTTATTATGACCACGCCACCCACGCCAGAAGCAGGAGACACCTATAAATAGGACGCTCATTTATGCTTTCTCGACAGTTCATTTTAGAGTTGAACTTCTAAATCTCTCTCAAGAGTCGGCTCAATATGCCGCTCCCGGTTACTCTCCTCTCAATACTTACTTGAGCTTCGGAGCAGGTCCCCGCCGACCACCGGCCGGCGGGTTCCTCTTGTTTTGCAGGTGTCCATCTCGGAGACTGGTGGCGGACGTTGGCCAGGAGGACAGCGCTCACCGGACCTCAATCACATTGAAGCAGGCTCCTCCAAGCTTTGCATCAACAATTGGCGCCCACCGTGGGGCCCGGTGAGATTAATACCAACAAACCGTCAATCTAGCAAGACGAGGTGGACACACAAGATTTGCAAGCCAAAGCCGGAATTCGTCAAGATGCAACTCTAAACATCAATCAAGTCGCTATCTCCAAGAATCGAGGATCCCAGCGAGATGGACATGCAGGATCTGCAAACTGACGATGGGATTCGTCAAGATGCAACTCCAAACATCAATAAAGTTTCTACCTTCAAGAATCTAAGGATCCCAACGAGATGGGCATGCATGATATGCAACCCGAAGAAGGTATTCATCAAGATACAACTCCAAACATCAATCAATTTGCTATCTCCAAGAATCGAGGATCTCTCGACCAAGATTGATTTGTGTCAATCTTTGGTCCGGAACTGCGGTCCCTCAACCCCACTAGTTCCTCCATCGATTTGCCGCGAAATCATAGGATCCTCGAGTCATCCCATGGAATGGCGCCCTAACATCAACAAGTGGCACCTATAGCGAGGCTCGATGAAAAGTTCCATCAACAATTTGCGCTTAATGTGGAGCCCGGTGAAAAATTTTACAAATTGTCATTGTCAACGTCAAACCCGCTAGGAGAGATGGTGGAGAAACCTGATGTCGTGCAATTCACAACGAGGTCGAGGGGGCACCGATTTTGGTCTGCCTCTCGTAAGACCTACAATTTAGCAGAGAAGCCCGTTTAGTCTACTATTTAAGTAGGCTCACCTCCATGGCTCCATCAATGAGGTCAAGGGTTCAATTCCCCGCGAATTGCTGTTGTGAAAAAGATCCACTTTTTCACCCACACCACTCTGCCTCCATCTCTTCCGAATCCTGCTCGGACAACTTTTGCATCATCATCACCAAATTGGCAGGGAAACCTCTTCCCTTCTCATGCTCCAATTGAGAAAAATCCAAGTATGAGAAAGTTTTTGTAAACTCAAAAACTATCTGGTAATCCCTCATAAATTCTCATTTATACTTGATATAATAATTCTCCTATGATGCTGCATAAACCAAATTACTATCCTTATCACTAATACACGGACAACATTAAACACACAATAAGGCTGCATCGATTGTCGCTGGTAGCCTGCAATGATTGGTTGGGGTCGCCTACCAAGATTGGCACGATTCTTCATGGTGCCCACCACGACAGGTGCGGCCTGCCTGTCATAATCGACACGGCTTTCCATGATCGCTCGCCACGATGGTGCGTTCCTTCTACCATGATTGACTTGGCTCTCCAACAATTGCTTGCCCAATTTGTGTGTGTATTCATAACATGATTTACTATAACTTAGCTAATGATATGGTTACCAATAGGAAACTTTGCTATTAACCTTAATTTTCCTATTGGTAAGGGGGCAATTGATGAGCCCAGTATTCAACCGACATCATACAAACAGTCACAAACTATTTCACGTGATCATAAGGAGAAAATTGATAAAATCATCTACATGTGGCAAGTTAATGGTATTGGTATCTACTACTAGTTACATCATTGGGTTTGGGTACTCTCCCCTTCAAAATAACCCCATCAAACCAATTTTTCACTTTCCACATCCTTCTCCCACGTGGATAAAGATTGTTAGATATGGGCAGCTAGAATCCCTCATCAAACAAACCCAACTACATACCCATCATCCCATCCCATGCCATACTAATTACAAATAATGCATGAGATGGGTGATTAGTAAAGTGGCCTTAAGCAACCCATCTCATTTGGCCCTTTTTTTAACACGTGGCATTGAGAAGAGTTGTTTGGTGAATTACATTTGCTTAACAAATACAAATAAGCCCACCCAACTCCTTTCATCTTAACACGTGGACATGAGGTGGATGGGTTACATGATTAATCATCAAGTTATTTATCCCAAACAACCCACTTCCCTGCTGCCATTCACTTACACGTAGGAAAAGCAAAAGATGAGAGGGGGATATGTATCTTTGTCTACCACCATTAATTGGATACATGGTTGGGTTTAATTACCCCACTTACTACACGCGGAAGGGGAAAGAGAAAGGTAAGTGATCTTCTTTTTAGCCAACCATCCATTGCACTGAAGGATGGGAGGTACATGTATTTTATTATTTTATTATGACCACGCCACCCACGCCAGAAGCAGGAGACACCTATAAATAGGACGCTCATTTATGCTTTCTCGACAGTTCATTTTAGAGTTGAACTTCTAAATCTCTCTCAAGAGTCGGCTCAATATGCCGCTCCCGGTTACTCTCCTCTCAATACTTACTTGAGCTTCGGAGCAGGTCCCCGCCGACCACCGGCCGGCGGGTTCCTCTTGTTTTGCAGGTGTCCATCTCGGAGACTGGTGGCGGACGTTGCCCAGGAGGACAGCGCTCACCGGACCTCAATCACATTGAAGCAGGCTCCTCCAAGCTTGGCATCAACAATAAGCTAAGTGACTAAATGTGTAATTAACCTGTGTGAACTAGGAAATCCATAAAATTGAGTTATTGAAAAGAATTCATATACCAATTAAACCCTGTATAAAGTTCATATACCAAGGTAGCGAACTTAAGAAAGTTGGTGTTATTACTTTTTACCATGGTTGTCACGCCGGCCGGCGTGCCACTGGTTGAACCTGGTTCAATCTGTACCGGTCATAAAACCGGTATGACATCACCGGTATGACCGGCATGACCGATATACGAATCTCTAAGTAAAATTAATGATCTTATATTAGTGAATTTATTTGATAAAAGTAATTTATTATTTATTTTATGTGTTAAAAAGTTAAATGTTGATGTTATTTGTTGGATTCAAGTACAAATATTTAGGTATTGACGTTAAATGTCGTGCTTAAATATGAGTATTTGTAAATTATTTGAAATATTAACCGGCATGAACCAGCACAAATCGATATGTACCACCGGTCGAACCATTCCACTTGCTAAACCGGCACAGTGGCACAAACCGGTTTGACAACCTTGCTTTTTACAGTCCAAAACCTATATAAAAAATCAAGTAATAGTATTGGTTATCTCAAAATAAAAATAGTAAACTAATAAATAATTTGAAGTACTAGAATAGAGAAAAACTTGATTTACATAAGCAAAACCGACAACAATTCACTAGAAAGATGTTTGGAGAATCAAATTTGGAGAATGTATTAGTAGAATCTATAAATTTAACAAAAAATCATATTCTTTAGTTCGTTTTGATGAAAGATCATGTGCATAACATATTTATACATAATCTTGTATAGAGCAATTCTATTATGTTATATAGTATTGGTGCTTTAATGTACAACTTGAAATTGTACCATAACATTAAATGTATAAGTTTAGGTTGTACCATAAAGGAATTTGTATCATTATGTTATGGTACTACTTTACAACTTGAAGTTGTACCATCACATAAATGTACAAGTTCAAGTTGTACCATAAAAGAATTTGTACAAAAAGTATAGGTACAATTTGAAGTTGTACCATAACGTAAATGTACAATTTCAAACTGTAGCATAAAGATAAAAACCTATAGCACCAATACTATATAGCATTGTAAAATTCCTCTTTTGTATAACCTCTTTAGTAGGAGTGATATAATCCTTATCATAGTTATACATTGTCTTATTATAGTGATAAGAATCCTATCACTATTGGTAAACAAGGTTGTATGCCTATTCCGCTCTCGTTAACTTTTTTTGCAATGTAGATTTTAGGTTTAGAAATTTCAAATTTCTCAATATCAATATATCAAATCTCTTATAAATATAAAGTTAATGCGTCTTAATTTGTAATTTTTTTTCCAACTCTATCCTTCATTTTATTATCCCTTCAAATATATCCTACCAACAATACTATATTTTTTCTACGAATTCTTCTGTTTTTCTATTTGTCGAATTTCATTCTTCTATTTTTTTTTTTAAATGTAAACAATCATCATTGTCAAATAATAAAATGTCCAATTCTTTAGGTACTAGAGATTTAGATTCTCCAAACTATTTTCACTGAAAAAAATAGGTATCGATAATCATCACGTAGACTTTGTGCATGGGATAAAAAAGAGCACCATTTTCATTTAGTCAACAACCATTCATTCACAAGATCCGCACCAGCTACCCAATTCACGTCGTTCAGTACGTACTCTTGCATTGCATGCATATAAAACCTGTCCGGTTGCAGCAACTCAAGGAACAAGAGAGAGCGGAGCTCCGAGCGGCCAATCGACACACAGAGCCAGCTAGCGATCGCGGCAAAGAGACAGCAATGGCGCAGCAGGGTGGCAGCAGCAGCAGCGGCGGGAGCAGGATTCTCAGCGGCGGAAGCATCAACGTGAGCCCGATGAAGCCTTTGGCGTCGCTGAAGGTGCTGGTGGTGGATGACGAGCCAATGATACGAACCATCCACAAGGCTCAGCTGGTTAGAGCTGGGATCAATGACGTGGAGGTGGCTGCTAACGGCAAGGACGCTGTTGATCTTCACGTTAACGGCGCTACCTTCGACCTCATTCTCATGGACCTGCACATGCCCATCATGGACGGCTGTCAAGTACGTATAACACCGTTTAAAGTAATTAATTAGTTTCCTTCCAATGATTACTTGGTTTCTCATCATCATTTTCTCGTTCTTATTTTGTTTTTTCTGCCTCCTGGAACAACAGGCTACGAAGAAATTGCGAGCGATGGGGGTGAAGAGCTCGATTGTTGGGGTGACGAGTTCGGGTGGCGCGGAGAAAACAGCCTTCCTTGCTTCCGGTCTCGACGACTGCGTTTCCAAGCCCTTCGTCCTCCAGCAGATTGCCCACTACCTCAAGGTGCCGCGTTCCCCAACGAACCCGCCCAAATATCACAATCCATAGTACGCAACTTAACTGCCAGGCCCAGCCCAGCCCACCGCCTCGCTACCTGCATGGGCCCATCTACCCACTATAACTACTATTATCAGTTTATCATTATTACTACGATTATCGGCCTGTTGGGAGAAAGTGCATTTCATTTCTCTACTACTGGCTGGGATGGGAGGTTGGAATATTAATCAGACATATATGGTCATTATTAGTATTGTACGTTGCTCTTCTTAATGATTGAAGACCACAAACGTTTGCAACCTAACCTAATGTGACAACTTATGCGTAAGTTGGATCTCTACATGGGCATAATATAGTAGTCCAAGTTAGCTTGTCTTGACTAACCTGTGTAGCTTTGTTATTCAAACTAATTCATCCACTGCATCCTAATATCCAGTTACAGTGGTGATAATGTCAGAAAGCTTAATGCTTAGTTTTAAGGGTTTTAATGGGTATAAAGATAAATTCATACCCTACTTAATTTCTACCACTTTTTCTCGCAATTTTTGGAAGCCTAAACTGAATCTTTGGCCTCATACTGGTTTATATGTCAAAGAGTAGACTGATATGGTAGAAAGTCTTGCGGCTGAAATTATTTGTGGCTTTTGATTTAAAAGCTAGGTCAAAATATGTAATAAGCATGGGAGAGGTTATGGTGATTATTACTATGGTTACTAAGTGCAAATTAGGTATAACAAAAATTTATTTATTGTTTTTTTAATAAATTATATTTTAGGAAGTTATAAAAATATATTAATTACAATTTTCTCTTTCTTTCTTTCACTTCCACAATCTCCAGCCAGATCTCTCTTTTTTTATCAATCTTTTTCTTGCCTCCGTTCAATCGAAATCATAACACTGCGAAAATAAAACAAGAATCAATATCAATCTGTTAGACAACCACTATCATTTCGGAAAACACCAATACAAATAAATCAATACCAATCCGTTAAACAACCACTACCATTTCGGATAATACCAATACCATTGTAGAAATAAATCATTACCATTATGAAAAATAATATCAATACACTAAAACTACCAACATAAACAATCTGGGTAAATTGCAAGGTTGGTCACTGAAAGTGCTAAAAAATTCACGTTTGGTCACTAAAAGTATTTTATTCTATTCGTGGTCATTGAAAGTGGTTAAACTTTTCACATTTGGTCACTCTCCGTCAACCTCCGTTAACACTGTTAGTATTTTGATGACATGGCTAACAGAAATCCTGATTCACTCATTTTTAACTCGCCCCCTCATAAAACTCGACCCGCCATATCAGCATAATCCGCTACATCAGACAACCCAACCCAACCCAATACTTGGCCCTTCCGTCTTGACCCACGAAACCCAAAAAAAATCAAACCTTCAATCCTCCTCCTTGTAAATGCCTAACACTCTCAATCCTCCAATCCATGAATCTCCATCACACAAAACAATCCCTTCCCCTCCATCAACCGATTCGGATAAAATAATCGTCGTCAAGTACAGTGACACCGTCATGAAAGGCATGAAATTTAAGGTCAATGTGGTGGAGAAGCCGGTGACTGAATCGCGTGCTCCAGTTCTTAAGCAGGAGGTGGAGGAGAAGGCCGAGGAACCGAAGGAGGGAAAGAGCTCATTGCGGCAGAAGCGAAATTCTACCGAGGATGGTTCATTAGGGTTCGAAAATGGTGAGTTCTCAAGCACTCGGCTCTGAAAATGGTGAGTTTCCAAATTCAGAGATTTCTCTCTAGCTTTCTGATGGTAACATCTGAATCCCATTACCCCATTTTTTGGTTCATTTTCGTCCATTTCTGGGTTTTGTTTGTGTTGAATGTTGGATTTGGGAAATGGGGTTGGTTCTTTCTCATGATTGAGAGATGCTAGTCGATCGCAGGGAAGATTGAGTGACCACTCTAGGCGGCGCCGGTGTTTGCAAACAAAGTGAGGAAAACGGCGTCAAGACTCAAGGCTACGATGGTGGAAGGCGGAATGGCAGGCGGCGGTAGTGGTGGCTGGGATCGGGTCGAGTCGCGTTGGGTTAGGGGTTGGATTAGGTTGGTTTATGCATAGGGTCTGACGTGGCGGGTTAAAAAAGAGTGAATCGACATTTCTGTTAGTCACATCAGCAAAATACTAACGGTGTTAATGGAGAGTGACCAAACATGAAATGTTTACCACTTTCAATGACCATGAATGGAATAAAATACTTTTAATGACCAAACGTGAATTTTTTAACACTTTCAGTGACCAACCTTGCAATTTACCCTAAACAATCTATACCATTACAAGAGTCAAACCAATACTAAAATCAAACAATACCAGTACTACTATGACGTCAAAACAATACCATTGCAGAAATAAATCAATACTATTATGAAAAATAAAACTATATCATTTCAGAAACTAATACAAAAAAACCAGTACCAAAACAATAAAAATCCAGATCCAGAGCCTCTCAGAGAGAGAGAGAGAGATCATGCCAGGGAGGAGGCGATGGAGGGGAAGTTGGACGACAATAACAACAGGTGGCCGCTGTGTGAGCGGCGGGGGGGGGGGGGGGGGGGTTATGCGAGGGATGGAGGGAGGATTGGGGAGGGCGACTAGGGTTGTGGGGAGGGAGGAGGGTCGACGGGAGGTAGCTGAGGGGGGGAGAGGGTGGTGGTAGGCAGCGGGTGGGGTGAGGCAGAGGGAGAAAGTCGAGGAGGGAAGAAGAATGACGGTTAGGCAAATGAGTAATCAGGTGTGATATGTTTTTCATTTTCGAAATTATCCTTAACCTAATTTTAATCATTAATTTAAAAATAATAAAATAGAGATAATGAATAGTGTAGATTAAGATAGCCCGTGATCACTAAAAATTAAGTAACCACGCTAACCCATTCCCTATTGCTATTATTTCATTTCCATAAGATTTTCGGTGCCAGACATATTTTTGTTGGCACATGATTTCGCATTCACCCAATATATGTTGCTTTGACCTTTGAGCTCGGAGAAATAGATGCTGCAATTGCCATCTTTGCAGTCATGGAGATGTATGGAGTAGCAGTTCCTGAACAGACGGGGTGATTGCAGCTAGACAGGCAGCTGACAAGATCAACAACAATGTCGCCGTTGATGATAGATTAGAGCATCATGAACAGTAAGTAAGCTCCGAGCTTTATCGTGTATGATCATTCTCTTACGTTCTCTGTATCGGAGATGGATTTACCTTGCCAGAAGCAATACTTGGTATCGACGGAAATGCAAAGCAGAGTCACTAATGTCTGGCCAATCTCGGTTTGTAAAAAAAAATCAAATGCCACCGAACCATCAAATGGGTCGTGCTCGATTAGTGGGAAGCCAGATCTGTCCCTAGCTTCGCAGGAACGTTAAATGGGACAATTTCTTATTTGGGTTGACAACGAACGAGTCATGATCTTTGCTTGGAGTGTAAGGGAAGGGAAGTGGTGGGAGAATCATGTCTTCCTCTTCTTTTCTTTTTCGGATAGTATCATATATAGACTATAGTTTGATAGTAAGTTAAATGAACTAAATAGGAATGTAGGATTTCTATTTATGTCGAAATGGTAGCAAACTTTGAAAGTTCCTCGAGCTGGTAATGTTAATGACTCTTTAGTCTTTGGTACGATGATAGTTAATTTTTCTTCACAAGGTTATATTATATGTGATTATAACGATAGCCAAAATTATGAAGTACGTAATAACTCTGCTTGCTAGTCATCGACTCATGGTTAGAGTCGAAGGAACTTTTTTTTGTTTTTTTTTTTTTGTTCTGGATTAGCCCAAGTATATAGTACTTTTGATTTAAGTTGTCACCATAGAGTACTTTTTATTATCCTATTCTTGCATGGATGCTCAAAGAGAGGGCTCACCCGATTGCGATTGAGTTATCTAGTAAATATGGATTAGTATGATTTTGATACGGTCCACTAGTTTAATTTCTTCATTCTTAAGAGAAACCTTGGAGGAACAACAAAATTTTCAATTTGAGAAAAAAATATTGAAATGAAGTTATATTCAATTTGGTTTTATTTTGTCCAAATAATGATTGGGTTATGTTTTGCCCATGTGAATCAAATTGTTGTCACCCCTTATCAAGCGACAAATCATACTTCCTCGACTGGAATTTTGATTATAAATAGGCAATATATAGTTAAAATTTTCGTGTTTGTGCTAATAATAGTCAAATTTGCATAAATATTATTTATAGTCAGTTTTTAAAGTTGTGTGTGACAAATATAGTCATTTTCGTCAGATATTTTAACGGTGTTAAATTCACACCGTCAACTTATTTGCCAGTTTGCTGACTAGGTGCCAGCTCAGCGGACACGTCAGCGCCACGTAAGTAAATAGTGACACGTAAGATATTTTAATTATTTAAAATCATAAATTAAAAAAATTAATTTGTTTACCCTCATATACCCATATGCACGACCCATCTTCCCCAAATTCGTTTTTAGGGTTCTTCCCCAACTTTTCGATTTTGGAAGCAACAACCCCAGAACATAGAGATGACCTAGAAGCAGCGGGGGCTTATGGAATCTGGGTTTCTGGAAGTAGCGGAGGCTTATGGAAGCGTCCCCATCTCCTATATACTTCGTTCCATCTTCATCTCCTCGTTTCCACCGACCAACTACGATTTCATCTTCATTCGTAGTCACTGCCATCGCCACCAAGTTGCATGTCCGGAAGAAGCCGCCCGTCATGAATGGCGCTCCAAAATTTCCCCTAAAACCACAAATCTGCAACCAAAATCCTAATTCACAAACCCAATCGAACCAAAACTAGATTCAACCCCCTAGAGACCCTAAACCAGATTCAATTTCCCCTAAACTTCACTTCCTCCACCAAAGTCGAACGTAGACCCCCTGTCCCCGGCAACCATTTGTCTCCCACCACTTCCCTAGCGCCGCTACCTCCTCCGTCGTCAAGAACCCTGCCTCGCCGCCATCTACGAGATGGACAGTTGCGCTTGCTCTGGTCCAAGTCGCTCCTCGATAAACCCCTTCAACAACTGGCAATGGAAGAGGGATTGGGCGCGATGGTTGAGAGAACGACGGATTTTGAGCGCGGCAGTGGAGTTGGGACCCTCGATTGAATGTAGTCCCCCTGTCCACTCTTCTTCACAGTTAGGAATGCTGTCGTCTAGTGGCGGAAGTAGAACAGAGGGGGTGAGATGAAGAGACTTTGTTGAGGGCAGCGTAGGTTAGGAGGAAGAAAATGAGAGAGGTGGGAAGATGAGGAGGTTGGCGGAACGGATTCAATCTCCGATTATGAGATTTATTATTTAATTAAAATTAAAATTAAAGGAAAAAAATTAATAATTTTCCACCTGGCATTATTTTTGAATAAAATTTGCCACGTCAAGTCGTCAACCATTGTTGTTAGTCTAGTCAGTCTGTTAAATGACATTGTTAAAGAATTGGACGGAATTGGCTATAAGTGATATTTCTCAAATTTGGCTATTATTGACACAAACGCGAAAGTTTTGACTATAAAAGTGTATATTGCCTTATAAATATGTTGCAAGATAAAAATAGCCATAAAATAACTTACACAACTTGCTCACTCTCTACTCACTTCCTATCTGCAAGTTTTTTTTTTTTTTTACATGACCTATCTGCAAGTTCAAGTTAGTGGGCAGAAGGTTAACCTTCATGAATCCAATCACCCTTCAGTGCATATGTCACAGGCAATGAAGCAAAGGAAATTATGTTTATCCTTGACGTATCTGCGAGTAGGAAAGAGGATTGGTACCTTGGCCTCCCGATCTGCTGATGACACTTTATTTTTAGTGTTTGTCACTTTCATTCTTGATACATTTCCCCCCTCTATCAATGCATCTTTAGTTATTTCTCTTATATTTCTCATCTAAATCATAACTATTTGATCAATTAGTCTTTAATAGATGTGGGATGTGTTTTTTACTCTTTGATCCCTTCTTGGTATATTTTTGGCTGTTTTTAAGATATAAAGCAACCTAAGAAAACTTAGATCAAATATTGAAGAACTTTGGAGGACCAGGAGCCAGTGGCGGATTGAGAAAATTTTCACAGGGGTGTCCTCTTCAAAAGTAAAATTTAATTAAATAATTCATATATTAAAAATATCATACTTGTATAAATTTTTTATTAAAATTCATGATATGTTTTCAAATTTTGAAAAATAATATAAATAAACTCCGTGTCTGCACTGTTCAAAAAAAAATCTACATATCCTACTAGAAAATACTTCACGAACTTATCACATATTCGATTTCTAACCTTGTTCTTAATGTAGCTCAAAGTAGAAAAGACTCTTTCAACACTTGTCGTGTAACCATAAAATCAATTCAAAATTAAGGGTAGCGTGTACGTAGTTTAATTATTAGGTATTGAAAATAGTTGGGGATAAAGAAATAGCGTTTTACTGTTGCATGATATTTAAAATAGAATAAAAAATGAGTAGCAACATAATTAGAATATGTTTGATAATAGTAGTGTCCTAGGTTGGAATAACACGAACTACCACTTATATTTTGTTAATCATAAGCAAACTATTATCGAGGGTAGGATAATCATTTTTTCAAATGTTAGGGTGTCCCGGATTACCAATTATATTTTGTATACCCATACGAAACTACTATCGGAGGTTGAATAATCGTTTCCCCAAATTTTAGGGGTGTCCCGGGACACCCATACAAGCCCATGTATCCGCCCCTGCCAGGAGCTATAAAGAGAATAATATGAAACTTTTATGATAAAGATGAGGTCCAATGACGAAAAAGTCTACTAGAAGCCAGTATGTGAGCCTAAGATTAGCCTAATAGTGGAAGACTCGGCCAAACCTAAAGAAGAATCCAGTGGCGGCCCAACATCGGGTCCAACCGCCACTGGAGGAGACCGGGTCAAGACGTGTCCAAATGATGAGAAGAGGTCGTCCAGGGGCCAAGGATCCCAACCCACAAAGAAAAAGGACGGCAATACCAACTGTCACCTTATCACCGCTCGTGCCATACGCTTCTAGAAGCCTTCTTCAAGAAGTTACTTAGTCTATAAGGAGTAGGAAACCCTTTCCTAGTCGGTTTAGGAGAGTATTAGCTGAGTTCTCCCACTATAAATAGAGGGTATGAATCATTAGTTCAATGAGGCAACAAAATTACATTCAAACTTATGGATACTCTGCTCGAGTAATAGCTTAGCTTTTGTAAGAGAGGTTGCAGATGTTGTCATCATCGATGGTGGTACCCTCCTTCTCTTCTATGTAGCTAGTTCAAAATTTATTGTATGAGGATGTGAACTCTTTTTTTGTTATATGTGTTAATGCTATAATTTTATATCATGCTTGTGGATTACGATGCTGATTATGTATGCATGGATGCTTGGTTTTCAATGCCTATGTGATGATCATTGTTGTTTATCTAGTATGAATGCTTCTTATCATCGATGCTTATGATTCTATAGTGTGCTAATATATGCATTGTGTTTAGTATCATCTAGGTTGTTAAGAAATTATCATCTAGTGATGCCCCCATTGATGTTGCATGAGTCTAGAGGGAATGATCAACCATATATACCTCGAGTAGTATCAATGCTTGATTGTTAAATCATCGATGTAATAGACCATCGATTATAGTTCGTAGAGGCACACATTTTTTCATGTGCTATCTTAACTTTCTTATTCTTCATTAATTAGGTAATGACAAAAAGCAAAAACACGCAGTAACCTTTCCTCAATCTTTAGTCATTGTTTCCGTAGAGCTATTAGCATTAGTGTTTTTTATTTATTTTCATTGACATAGTTATTCCCTTCCAAGAACATAAGTCCCTAGCTGCGAGAAGCAAAACGGTCCTGCTTATCTTCATTTACGGAGATGTTCACTTTGCTGCCTAGGTTTGCTGAAAGTCTATGTCGCAAGGTTTGCTACCTGGATCGTCGTCGTCCTCATTAGTCCTTACCTCTCCATGATATCTCGGCCGCCGAAAAGGAAGAGTTCAAGCTCAACCTTGTCCTTCAAGAATCTAGAATCTTGCTTGTGTTTCATGGTGTTGTTTGGAACACCTTGGTTTAAGATGTTGTTCGGAACATCTCTGTTTGATAAATGTTGCCAGGAGCATTTCTAGTTTGTTTTCCGTTTCGATGATGATATTCAGAGCATCCTGATAGCCATGTTGTTGTTCGGAGCACGTGTTTTTGTTTATTTTTTGATGATGCTATTTGGAGCATCTTGAATAGCCGTGTTACTATTCAGAGAATACATGGTTTTATGGCTTGATTTTCTTGGTTCGATGATGTTGTTCAGAGCATCTTTGATTTATTTTTCGTGATAATCGGTTTCTGTAGCTTCTTTGGAGGAGAAGGGTTTGGAAAGACAAGAAAGTTTTGCAAGAGATCTCGTTACTTCCAATTCATTACTATCAACATTTCGTGGGGCGTTATCTTCATCGATATAGGCATATTTGCCGGATCAATTATGTTTTTTTATCCCGATCATGTTGTTCGTAGTAATTTGTGTAATTTTTGTTTCGGTTTACAAATTGTTGGTAAGTAATTACCATCAATTTGGGGAGGGTATTAGAGTATGGGTAGTACGAGTAGTTTTATGTTATACCATGAGTACTATTATGTAATTGGTCAGAGTTATATTCCTTATCAGAGTTGTAGAAGTTAGGTAATTTCTGTTTTAGTGTTAGGATTATTATAGGAGTCAGTCATTGTACTCTATATAAACTCTATGTGGTTTCAGTAATTACACAACAGTTTCCACCACATTTCAATTTATCAACAAGACTAACTTAAAGTGTTCCTAAAAAGCCATCAAATCACCAAATACTCTCGTTAGAACTTTGTTCAAAGAGATGTGAACCGTCTAATTTATCATTATCCAAAGAACTTAAAGATGCAATTTATTAGTTTTAAGCATAAGTTTACTCGCCGGAAAACAATATTATAGATGTGGGAGCAAGTACTAAAAATCGTGAGCATCTAGTGAAGTTTCTAGAAAGTATTTGAGATAATTTTAATAGTTTCAACTATTCGAAAATTCAGCAAATCGTACTATCATTTAATTGCTTTACAATCTTCCATTTAGTTTTACACCTTTTCACACACAAAATAAAAAAATTACTAATCGATTACTACTTCTCCGGGTAAATGCCACATTTGTTCACAGAGATTACTAACTCGTGTCATGTTTAGTCACTAGAAAATTTAATATCAATTTTGGTCACTCAAATTACTGAAACAAGTCACATTTGGTCACTCTCATGTAGTCTCTGTCCAACTCCGGTCACTCGAATTATCGAAACATGTCACATTCAGTAGTTCGAGTGACCAAAATTGATATTAAATTTTTTTAGTGACTAAACATGACACGATTTAGTAATCTCAGTTACCAAATATGGCATTTACCCTACTTCTCCAGTTAAACACACTTTATTTGCTATCATTTGCTTATGTTAGCAAATAGCAACTTATCTCTTATAGTTTTCCTTACCAGCTGAAAAAATTACACCATGCTAGTAAAAAGGTGTGTTTGATTAAAAAAAATTAAGTTGAGGGGTTTCTTTGTTAAAAGTAATAGAGCAAAGGACCTGAAAGGTCAATATAATTAATTAAAACCAAACGTTTTGGTCGCCGCCGAGTCACCCGTTTCTCAAATGCAAGTCTGTCTCGGGCAGCAGCTTCCGAGTCCGACTCGCCCGAACAGTAAAACCGAAATCCACCCGACTGTATTCTCTTTTGTTTCCCCCTTTCCCCCATTCATGTCTGCAACTCTGCATTGCTTGCTGCTGCTGAACCGCTGTGCTGATATTTTGATCTGAACTCCGATTCCGAGCCTTGATCTGGCACCGGCAAGCTATCTATTCCACTCTCTCCGATGGCGGTTCCAGTAGAAGAAGCCATTGCAGCTCTCTCAACATTCTCTCTAGAGGTGGCCATTTCCCCTCCTTTAAGTTCGCTTCATATTTCGATCTCTCGCCCATTCACTCTGAATTGCGTTGAATGAGCAGCTGCTTGCTTCATTTGTACATTATGTTTCCGTTTTGCTTGATAAGTTCTCTTTTTTGGAATTATGGTATAGGATGACCAACCAGAGGTACAAGGCCCAGCAGTGCTGGTTTCGAGCGAACGAGGAGCAACAAATAGTCCCACTGGTATGCTGGATTCTTCTATCCTTTCCCGTGTCCCATTCTTCCTTGTTGTCTTGAGACGCCTCAAATTGTTGGCATTATGGCATATGCCATCTTCGAAAATGTTGATTCCTGTCGAGCATTTCAGCTTCCATTTCAAAAATTAGAGATAATCTTTTCCTCCTAGTCATATCGTCATAAGTCATCACGTGGAATTTAGTAGTTGCATTCGCAAAGTTCCTTGTCAAGAGTATATTTAGGTTAGAGTTCGAAATTGTCTTTCTAGACTGCAACTGTCGTTCTGTAGATGTAGTACCACTTGTTCTTGAGATGGTTATAAGAACGGTGTTGATCTTTTGTCATGGCGTAAGGTAATGTTTGATAGCCTATTTCATAGGTATGTGAGAGCCATATCAAATTGTGTGGCCAATGAGTCATGTCTTGAACTCAACAAAGCTTGTTTGGGGGAGTTATCATATCCACAATGCATGACTTGATCAATTTCTCCAATTTCTGCAGAGTACAGTGATGTTGCTGCATATCGGTTATCGTTATCAGAAGACACTAAAGCTCTCAATCAGCTAGTACATGATTTCATCATTCTGTTTCGACTTTATATTTTTGCTTCTCTTTTTATAGTATGGTATTTTTATATTTGACATAATTTCTGATGGAAATGTGCAGAATGCTCTTATCCAAGAGGGTAAAGAAATGACTTCAGTCCTTTATACATATCGTAGCTGCGTGAAAGCACTTCCTCAGGTTTGTTTGGGTGCATGTCAAAGCAGTGTGTCTTTCCTTCATTTTCCCAATACGCCAATCGATTTTCATTCTTTTAGTACTTTTAGCAACTGTACTGAAAATTTCTTGTGATATGTATATCTATTGGTTGCAAGAGGTCGATAAGTTGGTAAGAAAGCAAGAAAGTGACCTCCATTAAATGTATCTCTAACAAGTTCTATAAGGTATATGAATATATGAATCCTGGAAGTTACCTTTTGTCATCATGATCTGTTTTCAGTTGGCTAATCTGAATTATTTGTATGTTTTAAGCACCAAAAATGTCAATCAAACCTTATTTATAGAGAGAAGAAATGAAACCAGACCTTTATACATATCATAGCAGTGTTAAAGCTCCTCCGGTTTCTTTAGTGTGCATGTCAAATCAGTATTTCTTTCCTTAATCTTCCCCATACGAATCAATTTATCCTTCTACTACTTCTAATCACAACTGTACTACAAGTTTCTTGTGAATGTAAATCTATGGTTGCAAAAGGTCGATAGCTTGATAAGAAAGTTAGAAAAGTGAACTCTTTTGTGTGTATCTCTTGGCCAGTTTTATAAGTTGATGAGGTTTATGAATATGAATATATATTTCCTGGAAGTTACCTTTGGTAATAACAATCCGATTCAGTGGGCTAATGTGATTTAGTTGAAGGTTTGAAGCACATACAACGTCAGAAATCCTTGTGTATATCTGTGCAGCCACGCTTGAACATACAAAATAATAGGGATTAGAGGTAGGCAAGGGCGAGAAAGGACTTGGAGCCCTTAACTTAGTATCTACTGATAATGTTGCCAGGATGGATAGAAGATCCAATATGTGTTCTATTTGTAAATAAGCAAACATTGTTTCTTGAATTGGCCAATGCAAGAAGGGTCTACTATTGTCCTTGTGGAACGCGAATCTATTTAATTGCTCTATGTTTTCCTGTATCTCCTAAAAATCTGTGGCTTTATGTGTTGTGGCAGCTTCCTGAGTCCATGAAACATAGTCAGGCTGATTTGTATTTGGAAACATATCAAGTTTTGGACTTGGAAATGAGCCGTCTTCGTGAAATCCAGCGATGGCAGTCATCAGCAGCTGCTAAAGTATCCATCCTGTTCTGTTTATTGTATTGCTATAAAGTTTATACCATCGATCAGAATCCTATAATTTACTTCTTGGTATTCTGATTTCTGATGCAGTTGGCAGCTGATATGCAACGTTTTTCTCGGCCTGAGCGGCGAATAAATGGCCCCACAATCACTCATCTCTGGTTTGTGGTGACCATTTCTTCCCTTTTGTGGATCCCTTGCCTTCGTCGTCATGTTAAAACTTTGTTGTTTGCTCATTTCCAAGTAGTGAAACTCCTTAAGTTCTTCATCATACGATACAGCCGCAATACGTCTCCCAGATTGCAAGTGATATTTTAAATCTACTTCTCTTCCAGGTCTATGTTGAAGTTACTTGATGTTTTGTTGCAACTTGATCACCTTAAAAATGCTAAAGCAAGTATACCTAATGACTTCACGTGGTACAAAAGGTATGGACAAGATAGTTCTCAATCAGATTGCCTGCTTTCCCATGTTAAACATATGGGCACCAGTACATTGTGCTTTCTCTTTTTTCTTACTAATTTCTGTTTCTTCCCAATGTCAGGACATTCACGCAAGTCAGCGCTCAGTGGCAAGAGATTGATTCAATGAGGGAGGAATTAGATGATCTACAGGTCAGTAATTGTGGCCTTGTTGTCTTTCATTATTCCAGCATCTGTGGTAATTGGTTATTGTGCACAACTTTATATTTTAATGAAGTTCTGCGCATTTAGCATCTCATTGCAACTATGCTTACTGTGTTATCAATAGTCAACTTAACTACAACAATTCGATTGTTGCAGATTTTCCTAAGCACTAGATGGGCTATTCTATTGAATTTGCATGTGGAGATGTTTCGGGTGAACAAGTATCCTTACTGTTCTTGCTTAGATTCATTGGATTGCTTGAAGAGAAATAAGTTCCGATCTCAATTATGATACTGTTACTGTAAATTAGATGCATTTGCTTTTCCCCTTTTAGTTTCATGCTATTGCTAATCCTATTGATAGCTTGTTTCCGTGTTTTAGTTGAAAATACTTGTCATAGCACCAAATCATTAGCTGATTGTTTTCAGCCACTTAAGCTCCTTGACTTGAGAAAAGTGTGGAGGACATTCTTCAAGTTCTTATTGTTTTTGCTGTTGAGTCATTGGAGTTGGACTTCGCACTTCTATTTCCAGAAAGGCATATTCTTCTACGTGTACTACCGGTTCTCGTTGTCTTAGCAACATCATCAGAGAAAGATAGTGAATCACTATACAAGAGGGTGAAGATCAACAGGCTTACTAATATTTTTAAGGTAGCATTTCATGATAGCTTTTTTAACAGATGTTATCCACACAACTATTACATGTATATAAAACATTGTTCACTACTTGTATTTTTATGCTTCATGTATATCTACGCGTGCCTAAATACTTGGACAGGTTGCTTTCTCTGGCTTGCATGTTCGGAGCTGTGTTTTACGTCTTTGTCTCAGTCCCTGTGTCATTTCTGATTTTGTTTTTGCTTAGTGACTTCCCTCTCTTTCTTGTTCACTGATTAATTTTTTCTAATATAAATTTTTGGTCTGGCAGAATGATCCTGTGATCCCAGCATTTCCTGATCTTCATCTTTCTCCTGCTGCAATCGTGAAAGAATTGTCCAGTTACTTCCATAAGTCTTCTTCGCAAACTCGTCTTATTACCCTTGCAGCACCACATGAGCTTCCACCTCGTGAAGCACAAGAATATCCTCTACACCGCATTAGTCTTTTATCATCTGCCACTGAATGATGCCTGGCTTTGTTTCTTGTGAATAGTGGTCTCTCCGATTAGATGGTTTAGGCATGAACTGAGTACTAGGGCGAGACCCTTACAGTTATCTGTTTGAAGTTTTATAGGTTGGCATTATGCACTTATCAGAAAGCTTTACAAACTTACGACTGTGGCTAGCTTTCTTGTGTGCCTGAACTGCAGCTGGCAAACCTGTTAGTATTGTGTGAATACGACCATTCTAGGTTCTCTGCAGCAGACCCATATTTGCTAAATATCTGGACCATAGTTCCTATTTATGAATTGAAAATGACTTCGAGGCATTTATTCATTGATTAGGGCCACATTCAATCTATTCAATAATAATATCCGAAGGAAGTTTCTTGCTTTCATCTGTCTGTCGACTATGAACAAACTTGTTCAGCTTTTTTAAAATGATTTGTCAGAATCAGTATACACCATTTGTGTGGAAGATTGAAATACGTAGATTTTTTCTAATGTAAACAGCTTAGTTGGTTTTACTGGTTCTTGGATCACTAAATTCTCTTGTGTGATGCTATCTATGTAAATGTTTCTTGTGATGTGTTGAGGAGGCATGTCTGTTCATTGAATTATCGTGTAGCCTTAACAAGATTTACTTATCAGAGACATTATCACATTGCCAATCACATTGGAGGCATTCGTGCTGAGCATGATGACTTCACTATTCGGTTTGCTTCATCATTGAATCAGGTGCTTACCTCTTGCTCTTGGCTGCTTTAAGGAACTCCATGATACTTTGTTTTTCAGCATGTCAAGTTTGTTTTCTTCATTTTAATTTTGAGCGGGGTTCTAATTGCTCTCTCTCTCTCTCTCTCTCTCGGTTCCCTGGAACAGTTACTGCTGTTAAAGTCAACAGATGGCGTAGATGTTGAGTGGGCTAAGGAAGTCAAGGGATATGTATATGATATGGTTGTTGAGGGCTTCCAGCTTTTAAGCAGATGGACTGCGCGTATCTGGGAACAATGTGCCTGGAAGTTCTCTCGTCCATGCAAAGATGCAGTTCCTTCAGAACCAAGTGGAGTTCCAACACCAGTTTCTGACTATGAAAAGGTACTGTGCTCACCATATTTTCATCCTGGACGTTTAACTATAGGTAGCAGAAAGTGTGATGAGCTCAGCTGATATTATCTGAAATTTCATAGTTCGGTTAGGTACTATGTTAATAAGGAGATAAATCTCCTTGATCCCTTGGGCGGAAGTGCAACATATTCCATAGTAGAAACCACCAATGATTATGATTTCCTTGACATTATTTTCTCTTGACATAATGTTTTAGGTTGTGCGATACAATTACACTGCTGAGGAAAGGAAGGCCCTTATCGAACTTGTTAGCTACATAAAGAGTGTTGGGTCCATGATGCACCGATGTGATACACTAGTCTCTGATGCGTTGTGGGAAACGATACATGCAGAGGTGCAAGACTTTGTCCAGAGCATATTGGCCACTATGCTGAAGACTACTTTCAGGAAAAAGAAGGACCTTTCGAGGTGGGGGTTTAAAGTTAGTGCAACTTTTTCCTTTGTGATGTTCCATACATGTATACGCTATTGTCGGTAAAAAACGTAAAAAGCTTTCACCATGCATGCACCCTTGCGGACCTATACATGGTTTTCTACCCGTAAGATATTACGTTAATAAGAGGTCCAAAGGTATGATTGCTCTCATCAATTTATTCATGCTGACTGGTATATACTTTTGTTATTATTATTCTGTTTCATGTTTTCATACCTGTATATGCTGTCATTGATCAAAATCGTAAAAGGCTTTTTACCAACCCATGCATCCCTCCAATGATGTCATGATGACCATATTGAGGCATCTGCTGAGCGATTAAGAAATCTTTGGTTTCCTATTCCTCATTTCAGGATTCTTTCTGATATGCGGACACTTTCAGCAGACTGGATGGCTAATACGAGCAAGGGTGAAGTTGATATACAGTCGCAAGGGGCTGAAGACAGTAAAGGCAATTTCTTTTATCCCAGGCCAGTTGCCCCAACAGTTGCACAGGTCTTTACTACACTAAAGTATTTTTCTTTTCAGAGCTGTGTAATTAGACATGGCTATTGACCGTGTGTGCAACATTCATAAGGATGTTAACCATGCTGCTACTCTTGAGGCGTGTCTTATTGGCTTGGATTGGGCAATATATCTATCATGTTATCTAAGTATTTCTGCACTGTCTGATTAAGTGAAACGAAGCAGATATACCTCATATGTAAATGATCTTGTACGAGATCTTGCCAAAATACCTGGCATATGAGATAACATTTAGAGATGCAATAATAATGAACAGGACTTCTAGAATAGTCTCTGTCAGACCTGTGTCATTTAAGGTTTTTTTATCCACAGAACCAGAAATGACTTCAGTTGTACTTTCTTTTCCAGATTCTTTGATTGGAAAACCCTGCTATTGAAATCTTCTATTGATCTCAAGGCTTTTTGGTAACCAAATGCTCCAATATATATTATTCAACAAGTCATGTGCTTTGAAATATAATCCAGAGAATGTGTGTATTGTTAGAATACCAATGCAGTGTGGGTTTATGCAATCACAGATGCGTCCTTTGGATTGACAATCAAACTCTTGTTGCATAGGTTCATTGCTTGCAGTTCCTCATTTATGAAGTGGTATCTGGGGGCAATCTCCGGAAGCCAGGTGGGCTCTTTGGTAATAGTGGATCTGAAATCCCTGTAAATGATTTGAAGCAGTTAGAGTCATTCTTCTACAAGCTTAGCTTCTTTCTGCATATTTTGGACTACTCTGGTAAGTTTCATCTATCCCCTAAATTGTTTATTAGATTAGTGAACTACCATTGTGTAGTTATTCAGATGAATTAGAACAGTGTTCAACTTTATAGATATGGAGACGTTACTCATCTTTGCTCCTCTGTTGCCTGTATATCACATTTTCATTTAAACTCTAGTTGTCTGGCTGGAATAGGAATTCTTAAAAAAACCATAATCGAACTATTCTAACTCTATTATTGTTCTTGTGGCAGCTACAATTGCCACTTTAACAGACCTCGGTTTCTTATGGTTTAGAGAATTTTATTTGGAGTCATCACGTGTAATCCAGGTAAAGTAGCTAGCGTGAATAATAGTTTCTGCTTACATTATACTGGAATCTTGCAAAAAGAAATATCACAATTTTCAATTATCAACCTTCATTTGTTAAGGATTCATGTTTTATGCCGATACAGGATATTTTTATGGTTGATACCTCTAGCCTCTAGGGAAATTTTTTAATCTCTCTGTTAATTTGCTAACTCTGGAAACCTTGTTTCTTCTCATGTAGTTCCCCATAGAATGCTCTCTTCCCTGGATGCTGGTGGATCATGTACTTGAATCCCATAATGCAGGACTTCTTGAAAGTGTTCTGATGCCATTTGACATTTACAATGATTCAGCTCAACAAGCTCTAGTTGTTCTGAGACAAAGATTCCTGTATGATGAAATTGAGGCAGAGGTACGTAGTTTGCTTTCCAACTATTCCCCCTGACATCGGCATTCTTTTATATCTTCTGATGAGTCTATGCTTCTTCTTTGTTTTCAGGTGGACAATTGTTTTGATTTATTTGTTTCCAGACTCTGTGAAACTATATTCACTTTCTACAAGAGCTGGGCTGCTAGGTATATGTTCCACTCTGCCTTCACGTGACAAGCTACTGGTATTATATTCAGCTAACTCCGTGCTTGGGATTTGTTCATCCAACAGAGAACTACTTGATCCATCATTCCTCTTTGCCTTGGACAATGGAGACAAATATTCGATCCAACCCATGAGGTTCACTGCACTATTTAAGACTACCAGAGTAAAGGTGAATACTAGGAATAGTATCTGGATGGTTTAAAGTTTGTTACATCTGATTGATATGCAGTGCTTTGGCTCTACCCACTTATGAATATTGTGCTCAAGTAATTGTCATGCACCTTCTCTACATGTACTCAGAATACTTAGTGTTTTACTGGACTATATTAGAGACTCTTAAAATTAGGTATCTGTATAACTAAAAGTTTCTTCAAGAAGACGTTCACATATTTTTGAGTAAGATCACAGGAGAATGATGGTTAAATTGGCTCCCAAACCTAGTTATGTACTATCATGTTTGGATATTGTCTCAGCCTTATACCCATACCATCTAATTATGTCAGGCATTTCTATGATCAGAACTGAGTTAACCGAAGGGTTTAGTGCTGGAAAATGTCCAAATTGATCCATGAGGATGCCAGTCCTTAGACTTGGTTGTATCATCCTTTTATACTGCCATTATGAATAAAGAAAGATATGGATTCTGCTTTGTCACTTCTTCACTCTTGTTTTATCCATGTGATGTGCAGTTACTTGGGAGGACCATTAATTTGAGAAGTTTGATTGCTGAGAGGATGAACAAAGTTTTCAGAGAGAACCTGGAGTTCCTGTTTGATCGTTTTGAGTCTCAAGACCTATGTGCAGTAGTGGTAAGTACATTAGCTCTTTGTTGCTAATATTGTACAACCGCTTATGTTGATTAAAGCGTAGATGCAATTGATAGATGATGTCTTTTTCCCCCTCCAATTGCCTGGACTGGATGTTTTGGAATATGATATAGATGCTCTGATGTTTAATGGTTGATTTTATTAGCCCACCTGCTTATGCAGCGGGTCTTTGTTGGTTTTGTTCCCTCTTTATACGCCACAAGACCTGCTGATAAATAATTATGTGCATACTAAGTGAAAATTTAAGTGCAGAAATTGATGCAGTTTTGCTTATATATTAATTACTTGTATAAGTTCTTATGCAAATACGTTATTCTTACTGCAGGAGCTAGAGAAACTCTTAGACATCTTAAAGCATGCGCATGCTCTTCTTTCCAAGGATATTTCAATAGACTCCTTCGACCTCATGCTGAATGAGATGCAAGAAAATGTCTCTCTTGTGTCATTTTCCAGTAGACTTGCTTCTCAGGTGTTTTAAACTCCCTTCAATCTATTAGTCTTCATGCATGCATAAAGTATCATATATCCTGCATATGAAGTCTTTTCATGTGTGCTTTGCTTTCTACTATATGTGTTGAAACTTGAAAGACCTCATATTGTGTAGCCATGCCATTTCTTCAAACATAGGTGTCATGGGTTGCAGTTTCCATAGCACATAGACTTTACAGGATATACAAATTTTACTGAGAGAAGGAAACATTATAAATTGGTACATTAACCTTGTTCTGATCTTTGTCAAACAAAAACAAAAAAAAAAAAACCTTGTTCTGATGTTCTATAAACAAGAAAATAATATTAGTACATAATTTTTGTTATGACGGGGTACCCAGGAGCAGACGTCTGAGGCTATCTCAACCCCTGTGAATACTTTTCCAGCCCATGGGAGTGGATGATAGAGCATACAGCCCTGCCAGTGACCCAAAGGAAAAACGATCAGTAGATGTTACAATTGTTAGATGCACCAGTATGAAATCATATAATATTAGCTTTCTTGTCCTTCATTTTCTGTATAAGAAACAACTTTTGGCGTTAACCAACAAGTTAAGCTGTAACTCCTATTCTATGAGCTGACTACCTTATTCTTTGTGCATTGAGCTACGTGAACGATAGTTTAGTAATAATGGTCTAGCAGTATATCACTAAGTTTTTTTTAGTCCCAACTTTTATTCTATATTGTTGTTAATCCGCCATACTACATGTAGGAAAAAACTAATACTGGTCCTTCTTAGTGGAAGGGTTTAACTCTGCCAGTTATGAGGAACTTTGTTTTCTTGGCTTGATTCCAAATTTTTGGCTTTGCAACAGGCGTTTAAGCTGTTATACTCCATGTAAACGTATCTGTTCTTTGCATTTTGCAATGCTAATGCCTGCACTTTCTCGGGTCTTGTTGTAAAATCTTAAATTGTCTCATATATAATTTTCTAAAAATATTACCACTGGGTGTAAAAATGATTGCTCAACCATCAATATTTCACACTTTGCTTCCATAAAGTTCCACTCGTAATGCTCAATCTAAACTCATACCGCTGGTAATGTAGTAATGTCGCTAATTTTACCTCTTGACAATTTGCTTTTTTGTATATCAGATTTGGTCAGAGATGCAGAGCGATTTCTTTCCAAATTTTGTCCTTTGCAATACCACTCAACGTTTTGTCAGGTCATCAAGAGTTCCTCACCTTTCCGTTCAAAAACCATCTCTCCCTCATGCAAAGCCTAACTTCTACTGTGGTACCCCGGTAATGATCTAGTGTATGATCACCATCACTACATTGATGTTCTTACTTTGTTACTGTCATTTGCCTATATGAACATTGTGTTCTCATGGTAGGAGCTGAATGCTGCACATCAAAGTTTTGCACGCTTGCACAGTGGATTCTTTGGTATCCCACATCTTTTTTCAATTGGTAGACTCCTTGGATCCAGATCTTTGCCTTGGCTTATTCGAGCTCTTCTAGATCATATATCGAACAAGGTACTCAATGCCTTCCTAGCACCTTATTGGTAACTATTTGTTAAAAGTTTGATAGCAGCCACATAGTATCTTTTCTTTCTTTGTTTCTTTTAGAAACTTCTTTTGCTTCCCCATTCCTGCATCATAATTTAAGCGTTGAATATTCCAGTCAACTGCATTGGAACCAATGATTATGGGATTGCAAGATGCATTGCCCAAATCCATTGGGTTGCTTCCTTTTGATGGTGGTGTCACAGGTGAGAGCGGATATTCTCATCTTTAAAATTATCTTGTTTCTTGTTTTGGTTCAAGTTCTAAATCTCTTCAGGGTCAATGTAGATGAGAACACCAACAGATGATGAGGGGTTATAGTTGTCTCCTGAGACTCTCTCTCTCTCCACTCATTCAACTCTTCTCTTTTTAAATTTTTATTTTGAGTCATGTACCTCCAGAACCTTTGCATCAATACTCCTAGATGTTAATCGTCATCTTCCCTATGTGATGCTTCTTTCCTGTGTTAGAATATGCCTCCTTTGGTTTATGTTATATCCCTCTTTAATCTTTGGGCGCCATGTAATCTACAAGTCCATTCAATTCAAACTTTAGTGCACGCGCTTCTGTTTCTCAGGTTGTATGAGGCTTGTTAAAGAAAACCTTACATGGGGAACAAAGTCAGAGCTCAAAGCTGAAGTTCTCCGAGGGATTAAGGAGATTGGAAGTGTACTATATTTGATGGGGCTTCTTGACATTGTGTTGGTCAGTCTCCTTTCTTCTGCTTCTGTTTCTGTTTCTTCTTCCGTTTACTTGGTCAACGTCAATCAATATCCCATACTGAAATGCTTCACTCTTTTTCTTGCAAAACCTCAGCGCATAATTTCTATCATTGCGTTGAAACATTCAAAATAATTCTGGCACTATTAATTGGGGTTTCAAAACTTTGTGCTTGTCATCAATGCTCTATACTCTAAAGTCTAATCTCTAGTTTGTTTCTTGATTGAAAAAGTTAGTTGGGTTGACCAGTCATATCATTTTGAACTATCACTTTTCCTTAATGTGATAAATAAACTGGGAGATGTTAATCAATCAAAGCTTAATAAGAGAATGGGATACTTGTTCTGCAACCAGCGGAAGACGTTTGCATCTAGATGATGTTCTTTTCCATGAGTTGAAATGGAGTATCTAGCTAAAAGAGCTGTCATTACTATTTTCAAACAGAGGGAAGTGGACACCATGCATTTCATGCAAACAGCTCCTTGGCTAGGCCTGGTTCCTGGTACCGATGGACAGATATTACATTCACAAAGTGGTGGGGGAGATAGTCCTATTGTTCACCTCTTCAAATCAGCCACTACTGCAATTGCCTCCAACCCTGGGTGTCCAAATCCAACACCTTTCTATACCATGTCCAAACAGGCCGAGGCTGCAGGTGATTAATCAATGTCTATCTTCCATTGACATCTCTCCTGTCATACGCTATATATGCAGTCTTCATTCCATCTTCATATTGTTGCAGACCTTCTGTACAAAGCCAATATAAACAGTGGAAGTGTGCTGGAGTATGCCCTTGCATTTACCAGTGCAGCACTGGACAAATTCTGCACAAAGTGGAGTACTGCGCCCAAGACAGGGTTCATTGACATAACAACGTCCAAGGATTTCTACCGAATATATAGCGGCCTTCAAATAGTATGACTCCGCTTCCTCACTTACCATGTTTGCGAATTTCTGCACTACCTTATCATTTTATTCTGATTCTGTTTGGTCTTTTTCAGGGATATCTGGAGGAATCCGTTTCTGGTAACCATGACATAATGGGTGATTCCGTTGCTTGGGGGGGTTGTACTATCATTTACTTGCTTGGACAACAACTTCACTTTGAGCTGTTTGATTTCTCCTATCAAGTCCTAAATGTTGCTGAGGTGGAAGCCGGATCGCTATCCCAAACACACAAGAATCCTCATCTACTCCAGGTACAGAAGCTGGGCTATTGAATTTTGATAACTTCTTAGCTAAACCAAACATGGCCTTTTTCTAACTGCAAAGATTGTGTTTGTGACTGCCTTGTTCAATCACAGGGATGGGATAGTCTGCTAGAGGCAATGAAGAAAGCGAGAAGGTTGAATAATCATGTCTTCTCGATGCTAAAAGCTCGCTGCCCACTCGAGGACAAGACAGCCTGCGCCATCAAGCAAAGTGGAGCCCCTCTCCATCGCGTCAAGTTTGAGAACACAGTCTCTGCCTTCGAAACACTGCCTCAGAAAGGCGTCTGAATACTATAATCACCACTCACTGGCATGCTGCCGCTAGCTGTTTGTCATCATCTAGTCGTCGAGACAGGCAGTTGACGTTGAAAGCTAAATTTGTGCATTTGTGTGAATGATGATGATGTTATAACAACAAGCGTTAAATCAGTGTATCGTTCTTCTGACATAAAAATGTGCTTCAGTGTGTATAATATCATACGAATAGATGATGTGATCTCGAAATATAATGGAAACATGCGGTGTTGAAGTATAGGCTCTCGAGAGAAGTTGATTCGATATGTTTTAGTTAATAATGGATGGCAATCGACAAAGCAATAAAATAAATGACAAATGGTAGTTCATTAACACAATGTGTGCTAATTAAAGGCCGGCCATAATATACTAATTTGAGTAAAGTACATGATTTTAGAACTAGTTCAGATATGGTCCAGAGGGGATTAAAGATTAGGGTGTTAATATAAAACTCTTCTTATAACCTTTTCTCAAGGCATTCCAACATTTGTAATACACTTTCTTGTACAAAAATAACCAGTGCTATACCTCTACGAGTACAATCAGTTCATCGCTCGAGCTAGCATCGGGGCTGGTGCAGGGATCAGGTTCGTGATTGATTCCCTCTCGCATACTTGACTCGATTAGCATCAGAACAACCTCCCTCATCGTCGGTCTGTCGAAAGGCGACATGTTTGTGCAGAGCAAAGCGATTTTCATGACCGTTGTCATGTGAGAGACGACAGCACTGTTTCCTTCGTCTTGCAAATCAATCCTGGAATCTAACATTCCAGGTGACAATGAATGCGTGTGAATGTAGTTCCTCACCCACGTTACCAGATCGCCACCTTGCTCCAGTGGCTGCACTGGAGTTTTCCCTGTCAGCAGTTCCAGAAGTACCACCCCGTAGCTGTATATGTCGCATTTCTCAGTCACTTTCATGGTGTATGCATATTCTGCAAAGCAGTAACGGCTTTCAGTATCTGGATCATCATTTTCATTCCAACTAATCGTTATGTATACCATAGATGTCGTTATTCACATATAAGATCGACAAGAACACGCCCAAGACCTATAGAAATGAATATTGTTGGATCCATGAAGAATAACTCCAATCATCTGTGTAAAGTAATGATGAAAAGGCGCAAATAGAAAAAGATTTTATAAAACACAAAAAAGATAATGGGTTAAGATTGCGGAACTAGGAAGAAAACTGTGCATATAAGCAAACTGAGAGACACCAAGCTTACCAGGGGCAATGTAGCCGTAAGAGCCAGCAACTGCAGACATGGATTTAGCCTGAGGCATATCAATCACTTTTGCAAGGCCAAAATCCCCGACGTGGGCCTCGAACTTGTCATCGAGCAAGATATTGTTGGACTTTATGTCGCGATGAAATATCCTGGGTTTACAGTCATGGTGCAAGTAAGCAAGACCCTGGGCAGCTCCTAGGGCAACCCTGAACCTTGTCCTCCAATCCAAACAACTTCTTGTTCCATGAAGCAACTCTCCCAAGCTACCCTTTGCCATGTATTCATACAACAGCAGATTGGCGCCCTGGTGGTAGCAGAAACCATACAACTTCACAATGTTCCTGTGCCTGATATTGCCAAGTGTTAAAATCTCGGCTCTGAAGCTGTTGTCAATGTTGCTTCCCTCTCCATTAGAAGCCAACCTCTTGACAGCAATACAGTGCCCATTTGTCAGGACTGCCTTATACACAGTCCCACAACCTCCCTTTCCAATCACAAATCTGTCATCAAAGTTATCTGTTGCCAGAACCAGCTCCTGGAAAGTGAAACCTTCCTTGGGAGAGAAGTAAATATCTGAAGCTGGAGAAGGACCAACTGGTTGCTCTTGCAAAGGAGCAACCACTTCGACTGGCCTTCTCATGACATAGATAATGACTAAAATGAGAACTAGAGAGATCCCTCCAATGACAGCTGAAGCTATAGCTACAATTTTCCCTAAACGGCTGGCTCGGTTATTTGTGCCTTCAGCTGGAGACTGCAAAGATGGAGTTTGATTACAGATGCCAAAGGGTCCACCACCACAGAGACCTCTATTCCCATAAAGGCTACTGATGCCTGCATTTTGGAAGAGGCTCAATGATGGCAAAGGCCCTGTCAAGTCATTGTAAGACAAGTTGAAAGCAAGCAAGCTCATTAACTTCCCTATGGAAACCGGGATTTCTCCACTCAAATGGTTATTGTTGAGAAGCAAATACTCAAGCAAAACAAGCTCCCCTAGTTCTGAAGGGATTGGACCTGAAAGATTGTTGTAACTCAGGTTCAGCGCAATCTGTAAGCTCGAAAGCTCACCAATCTCAGGAGGTATTGAACCAGAAAACGAGTTGCCCCCCATTTGTAGCTCGGTCAAGTGGCCAAGCTTTCCTAACTCTGCTGGTATAGACCCAGAGAGGTGGTTATCCGAAAGCTTGAGTAGCTCCAGTTCGGAAAGGCTGCCAACTTCACTAGGCAATAACCCAAAAAAGTTGTTCCGGCTGAGGTCAAGGCGTTGGAGCAATGTGCAGTTGAAGATCTCAGGAGATATCAACCCACTAAGCATGTTGGAAGAGATGTTAAAACTCACCAACTGAGAGAGTTTACCAATCTCATTAGGCAAGTCACCAGTAAAATGGTTGCCTGAGAGATGCAGCCTTTGCAGAAGACGGCAGTCACCAATCTTGGGAGGGATTGGACCTGAAAAGTTGTTCTGACCCAATTCAAGGCTGGAGAGGTTCTCCAATTTGCACAAATCAGAAGGGAAAGGTCCCAAAAGGGCATTTCCTGCAAGATGGAGCTGAACCAAAGTGCTGCAACTTTTCACACCCGTTGGAATATAACCGGTCAGGCTGTTTGACCCCAAGTTAAGCAAAATCAAATTGGAATTCTGACACAAATACCTAGGGATTCTTCCAGTGAGATGATTGTTGGATAGATCAACCACCCAGAGAGAGCTACAAACTCCAAGTCCTTGAGGAATAGTGCCACTCAATGAGTTATTGAAGAGCTGCAACTGAACCAGCTGTTTCATGTACTGAAGCCCAACAGGAATTGCACCAGTTAGATTGTTGATCGAGAGATCAAGCCTTGTCAAGTTCTTCAGTGAAGTGAGCTCACCAGGAATTACACCGGTAAGCTGATTCTCAAACAGATATAGCAATTTAAGACCACTTATCTCCCCCAACTCAGTTGGGACCTCTCCCGTCAACATGTTCTCAGAGAAATCAATCTCCAAGGCCGAAGAAAGGTTTCCAATCTCTTTTGGAATTGTCCCATTCAAGTGGTTTCTGTAGAGGTATAACTTCTTTAGAGAAACAAGGTCACCAAGTTGCTTAGGTATGTAACCCACAAGGGAGTTATCATAAAGGGCAAGTATGAGTAAACTAGTACAATTTCCCAACTCCTTTGGGATGGTTCCAGAAAGCTCATTGCTCCAGAGAACCAAATCAGTCAAACCCTTGAGCCTTCCAACCTCTCTTGGTATTTCGCCACTCAACTGATTCTGAGCAAGTCCCAGAACTTCCAAGCTCTCACACTCACCAATCTCAACAGGCATACTCCCTGATATCAAATTCTGGCCAGCTCTAAAAACTGTCAAATTCTTCAGCCTCCCCAAGGACCGCGGCAACCCCCCACTGATGTTATTACTAAATGCAATGAGTTGTGACAGTGAAGAAAGGTTGCCAATCTCGTCAGGGAAAGGACCTGAGAATCTATTGTTTGAGATGTTCAAAGTGACTAATTGAGAAAGGTTGCCCAACTCTAGAGGCAACGGCCCTTGGAATTGGTTGTTCTGCAAGAGAAGAGTCTCCAACTCGGAACAGTTTGCAACTCCAGATGGCAACATTGAGGAAATGGAATTGAAAGACAGATCAAGATGAGTCAAATGAACCAACCCACCAATGGCCGAAGACAGAGAACCAGAGAGATTGAAATGACTCAAATTAAGGTACCAAACTACAGGCGGATCAGCTGCATAACTATAATAATCGGCTACAGTGCAATTCACACCTTTCCAATCACATGGGTTTGCGTCGCTAGGATTCCAACTGTGCAGTACATTAGAAGGGTCAACGAAGCTGCTCTTCAAGTCTAGAAGATACCGACCCTCTGAATTCAACGCCATGGATGGCTGAACTGGTAAAGATTCAAGCATGAGAATAAGAAGAAGAACCCTAATTAACGCCGGATAAAACCCATGTGAATGTGATTCTTCCTTCCTCCCCTCCATAGTTCAACAGCAGAATTCAGCAGTCATCAAGTTTTAGAAACAAAAACCAGCTGAGGAAAGAAAGAAAGAAAAAAAAAAGATCAATGCTTTAGAAATTAACCACCTTATTGCTTACTGTAAAATGAAGCTATTGAATCAACAAGAATCAAAGTACCTCTGACGAAGGGAGGGAGGAAGGAAGGCCACAAATGGAGGTGCTTGAACTGGCAACCCATAAAAACGTGATGGGTATAGCTGAAAGGGAGGAGTGGGAAATAATTGATGTTTGGTGGGTCTTCTTCTTGTAGTTGTAGGTGGAGCTGGGATGGAACAACACCAGCACATTTTGAATTTGCCTGTGCACTATTCTTGGCCAATATGCAACGAACCGGTGACTGGGATGTATAATTTTATCCACCTTTGACTTGATTAGGACGAAGAAGATAAACAAAAGAGAGCAGCTTCGTCCATGTTGTTAGCTTTTTTGTTGAGTCCTCTGCGAAATGATTAAAGGGCAATCCCACTTTTCCTGGACGGAGAAGGATTACGTACTATTCACAATCCAGCCAGCCTCCTTCCATTCCCCGTTTCCAATATTCGATTTTGATGGGATCATTATACAAATATATTTACATTTCTTTTTACATCGGCACTTGAAGGATCCCGAGTGATTCCATTATTACATACGCTACTGTAGTCATACTCACTCTATCTTCTGTTTTATAATAGTCGTGGGTTTCTGTGTTTGTCAGCGTGGAGCATGGTGAAAAGATGGCCGACAAAGCATGATAAAAGGTTGG